CATTATATCCACATGGCTTATTTATTTTGTAACTGGAAGTCTGTACCTTTTGACCACATTCACCCATTTCTCCCATCCCCTAGCCCCACTTCCGGCAAGTGCCAGTTGGTTCTCTGTATCTATGAGCTGTTTCGTTTTGTTTTAGGTTCCACATACAAGTGAGATCATACAGTATTTGTCTTTCTCTGGTGACCAATTTCACTTATTTTTCTCTATCTTTTGAAAGCCAGTGATAATCTGAGTAAATGTGATATAACTGTTTTTGTCAAGGAGGATCCTGTATTAAAATACCTTAAGTGATTCCACAGGATTGCCATCAACAAAGTCAACTGGAATGTTATGAGTTTAAATCTTTTAAATTTCAGAGATCATTGAAGAGGGTATATTTTGCATCTAATAGCTTTCTCTATAACCCAGACATGTAAAATTCTTCCAGACTATAAATTATTAATTCAGTACAGCCCAAAGTGCAGTCAAAATGTTGTCTTTTTCAGTGCAGGAAGTTCTCACTTTGCACAGGGGTGGAGGACTGTGAAAACAACCATTCAAGCTGAAACCATGCAACAGCCTTAATAATCAATGACGGAGGGGCGCCTGGGTGGCTCAGTCGGTTAGGTGTCTGCCATGGAGCCCCCCATGGGTTGGGAGCCTGTTTCACCCTCTCCCCCTCCTTCTGCCACTCCCCCTGCTTGTGCTCTCTCTCTGTCAAATAAATAAATATTACAATCTTTTTTTTTTTTTAAAGATTTTATTTATTTATTTGAGAGAGAGAGAATGAGAAATAGAGAGCACGAGAGGGAAGAGGGTCAGAGGGAGAAGCAGACTCCCTGCTGAGCAGGGAGCCCGATGCGGGACTCGATCCCGGGACTCCAGGATCATGACCTGAGCCGAAGGCAGTCGCTTAACCAACTGAGCCACCCAGGCGCCCAATAAATATTACAATCTTTAAAAAAATAATCAATAAGGGAAAACTATGATAGTTCTGCCTGAAGGTCTTTAAAACCTTTTTTAAAACATTAAATACTATTATGGTTTTTTATAAGTGTATAGGGAAATGGAAAAATAGTAAAACTATTATTCATCTAGTTCACTGTCTTTGTAAACAGAAAGAACATCAAGAATTAAAGTGGGCTTTTTGTAAAAAAAAGTTATCAAGATTAGTTTGAACAGTACTTGCCTTCTTTTCATCATGGTAAATCATAATTCAGAGTGAACCTCTTTCCTATGCATCAGTGAATTGTATTTTTAAGCTTAAATAGGCTTCCCAACTTCTATCCTTTGTGCTTTCAGTGTCATGAGACATTCCTGAGAGTCCCTTTTTGTTTTTTTAGATATTATTTATTTATTGGACAGAGAGAGAGAGAGAGCACAAGTAGGGGAAGCGGCAGGCAGAGGGAGAGGGAAAGCAGGCTCCCCGCTGAGTCAGGAGCCCCATATGTGGCTCAATCCCACGTCCCTGGGATCATGACCTAAGCAGAAGGCAGACGCTTAACCTACTGAGCCACCCAGGTGCCACCCTGAGAGTTCCTTTAATGTGAAGTTTATTACCAGTGTCACTTCCTCTAAGACATCTTCATCCTTTGCATTACAACCACTTCCCTCATTTATGTCAATAAGCTTGCCACTAAGTTCCTCTGGCAGCGTATGAAGGGTCCCGTGAAGAGTGGCAGGCAACATCCCCACAGTCAGCTAGTTCTTCTGTAGCTCTAGTTATGTTTGTCCAGGCCCTGCAAAGTTGTTTGCACTGTGTGGTGTAAGTTTCTACTGTAATGCACGCATATCACTTGCTGTGACTTCCTGCCATGATGCTTGCAAATTTTCATTTGTACGCTTTATGTCATATTTCTTCCAAAACTCAGCTAAAGAAATTGTATGATCTCCAGTTGTAGCATTGATAGCCTATTCAAAAGTCTGTGTAAGATTGGCTTTCAAAGTTGAAATAACTCCTTGGTCCGTTGGCAGGGTTAATGAAGTTGTCCTTGGTGATAAAAAGCAAGTTTTCACATTTTCATTTAAATCATCAAGAGAATTAGGGAGACCAAGAACATTTTCCAATAGTAATAGTGCTAGAAATATTAAATTATTATACCTATAATATCTCTCTACTGATTGACAAGAAGGCAAAACAACTACATGAGGTACTGTTTGTGGTTTGAACGGAATGACAGATGTTTAGGGACAAATCGCTGACAGCCTTAGAAAGAAGGAATGTGACAGTTGCTGATCATGATGTGCATCTGCTATTTACACTGTGATTTGTGGGCCCCAGAGTTAAGAGTGTAATCTATGTTTTATGCAGTTACTCACAGTTAATATACAGAAGTTTGAGCCTTGGTGATGGAGGGATAATGTTATTTAATGAAACCATGATGACTGAAATGTGTTCATATCAGAACAATGCAAAGTAAGGGCTGCTTTACTGTTACTCAAGTTTAACCTCAAAACATGTTTTTATTTTAAAGAATGTTTTATAAAAGAAAGGAAAAATGAGAAACCTCCATTATATTTGAACTGTTTAAGTCTTTGACTTCTACCTCTGAACATGCATCTGAAATTTTTATTTTTAAAAGTCTTCAGTTGTTTTATGACCACTTGCTGAGTACATTACCCTAAACCATTGACAGATGGTTTATTCAATTCTATCAAATTTATTAAGTACATTATATACGTAAGGCAGTGGGCTAGACATTTTTTTTAGAAACAAACTGTTACTGGGTTTCACACATACATTGATGCCTGCCCTCACCAACACCACACACACACACACACACACACACACACACACACACACACACGTACACACACGCACACACAGCCATACGTACCCAGCACCCTGCGACATAACCACCCCTGCATATGGGGGCCTCAAAGGATTTAGAAATGAATTTATCAGGGTTCACTAATACAAAGAGAAAAATTTCCTGAGCATGTATTTTATGGCAGGTCCTGGGCTAAATTCTTAGCCATATTTCATAAAATACTCAGAGCAACTGGATGCAGCCAGAATTATTAGTATTCTCTTTGCAAATGTAAAGAAACTAAGGCTCAGAGAAAAAGTTATATGCCTTGTCTATGTAAAAGGAGAATTGTTCACTAAAACAGCATTTGCTTACGAGATATTATTCAAAGCTGAATGCCGTGTTTCACTGCATCTGGTTCTAACCAGTTGAAGCCGATAAGGACCATGAACCATGAGTTACCTTAGTCAGGGTCAGACTCGACCTACCAAATTATTCTTTCCTGACCCATGGTTAACGGGACTTGATTTACTTAACTGTACACAGACTTGTGAACTCATTCCACCCTCTCCATAATGCAAATATTTAATCTTTAATGGACGTATTCCACTGGGACCACCCCCTCTTGGCACTGACTCTTCCCCGTCGGAGCACTACTCAGTGAATTTCTTCCCTGGTATGTTCCTTTGCCTGGCAGGTAGACAAAATCAGCTTTGGTTTTCGAGCTGTAGTCGTTGTTTTGTTTGATACCCAAGATAACACATCTATCTAGTAAGTGACATAGCTGAAGCACAAATGCATTCTAACTGACTTAAAACCTATATGCTTAATTTCTGTGTTTACCCATTAACTAAATGATGGGAGTAAATTGCATTCCAGCCAACTAGTTCCAAGACGTAAAAAAAGGAAGCTGATTCGACAGCTCTAACTCCCACTAACTCACACTTGGGGGTTCCTTCTTATTACAGTAATAATGATGATGTGAATGGTAATAACAGTGTAATAATATTAACAACAACATCAACGACAACTTAACTACAGATAGTGCTCCCTCAGTGACAGGCCGTCTTTCTTTGCCAGCTACCTCAAACCAGATATTGAAATGTCTTATTCCCTGGTGAAAACATGAATGTGCATTTATACAATTTCTGGTTGTAAGTCTGGGTTAAAACTGGCTATACATGGAGTAGTAAGGATTGTGACAAACTACAGAACTGTGTTCATGCGAAGGCAGCACCCATTACTCTGTTTCTGTTGCTTGTCATGGAAGAATCACAGCCCGGGAGTGCCAGATTTCCCTCTTTCAAGAGGCACAAAAGCCTAGGTCATTATGTAGAGTTTACCACGTTTTAACATACTATGTAGGGGTGCCCGGGTGGTTCAGTCAGTTAAGCGTCTGACCCTTGGTTTCAGCTCAGGTCATGATCTCGGGGTCGTGAGATTGAGCCCTGCATCGGGCTCTTCACTCAGTGGACAGTCGACTTGAGATTCGCGCCATCTGCTCCTCCCCACTGCTCTCTCTCCCTCTAAAATGAATAAATCAGTCTTTAAAAAAATAAACTAAAATACTATGTAAACCAAACCAAACATATCTGCAGGCTGAAATGAGCCCTGTCCATAGCCTCTGCTACAGATGCCCTAAGAGGCAAGAAAATACAGAGGAGGCATACTGTGTGCAGCTTTCCTACTTGGTGTGGCCTCGGGCAAGTTATTTAGCCTCTGAAGGCCTCAATTTCCTTATCTGTAAAATGGGTTTAAAAATAATAACTATCTTATAGAGTTGTCATAAGGTAAAGATTAGTTATTTCTATCTTTAAAATGCTTAGTAAAATGCCTAGACTGTAATGGTTTGTTGTTAATGTTTTGCCCCCTTTATCTTCCCTCTGTGGACCTGCCCTCCACTTACCTCTGCCATGACAGTTACGTGCATCCATTCCAAAGATATGCATTAGGAACACCAGGCTATAAATGGCACTTTAGTTGTATAAAAACAAACAAAACCTTGTGTCATTATTCAATGGCTCAGTTAAATGGCAGGGGAATTTAGAAAGGGAAAAAATAAGCCATATTTATTTTACTAAATTGAACCACTCATTAAATGGTATTGAACCACTTGGCTGAACTGATAAAATAATTTATATGATACTGTTGGCACTAGATGAATAAGGTTTTTTGTTCAGTGAATTTGGATATGTGGCTTTTTAAAAGCTCTTTCTCCATTTTGCCTTTTAATATGTCTAACTAATGTATTTAACTTTTCAGTTTATCTTTATTGGAAGAATTTGACTGCAGCTGTAATGAACTGGAGTCTCTACCTTCTACTATTGGCTACCTTCATAGTCTTCGAACATTAGCAGTCGATGAGAATTTCCTTCCAGAATTACCCCGAGAAGTGAGGAATAAACTTGTTTCTGTTAATTAACTTTTAATGAATGTGTTTTGGGATTAAGTCTTAACAGGTGCAATGCAACACAGATTCGTGAGTTGAGCTGTCAATGTATATAGGAAACATCTGTATATGTATGTGTTAATTATTCTTTTTTAAATAATAAGGGATAAGTTCTTTGACCCAGAAAATCCATTAGACTTAAACATCACTTGCAAAGAAAAGTAATAAAATATTGTAAGTTAATCAATGCTAAGGAATACAATTTTAAATAATTTAATTTAAATATTTTGCTTTTATGAACAGTAATAAGTAACATTCTGGGATAATTACATTTCCATTTCTGAAGTGAAAGATTTTTAATGTAAATAACTTTTTTTAAAGTATCATGTGGTGTGATAATATTATTTTTATTTTAGAATTCACCAAAAGGTTCTGTTAGTTTTTATTTCTAAGTGGAATTTTTATTTATTGTCAAGAAAAAAATGTGAAGTATATTTTCAATTTAGCATTTTCTATTAAACATTTCCATAATGAAGGAACAATAGTCAATATGTCATTATTTTAGAGCCAAAAGTTATGAATAAACATGACAAGTATCATTGTAACATGAAATAAAACTAACTTGGCTATGGAAATGTCAACAATATTTTATCTTTTGTGTGTGAGTGATCTATTAGAAACATAAATATATTAGTACTCACTTGGATGGACTGTAAAAACAATGTTATTTATGAAAACAATGAAGCTAATGAGCATTCTAATAATAAAATTATAAAGAAAATTCTTCCTAATATGCAAAAGAATATGTGATATATGTTGTCTTAACATCTAAAGGAATATATATATAATATATACACATATTTTAAAGAGAGATTATAAAAAATAAAGCAGTAGACATTAAGAGAGTCTTAAAAGTAATAAGGAAATCTGTAAATTAAGTTATTTTAATATTAAAAATTAATATAAAAATAGTTTACTGTGTATTTCTTTACTTACTTTTTTTGTTACCCATAGATTGGAAGCTGTAAGAATGTAACAGTTATGTCTCTACGTTCCAATAAACTGGAATTTCTTCCTGAAGAGATTGGACAGATGCAGAAGCTAAGAGTCTTAAATTTGAGTGACAACAGGTATTTCTGCAACATTTCACAATCACATATTAGTTATTGACTGAAAGCAAATTATTGTTTCTTGTTAATTATTTTAAAAACATTTTCTGTGTCTTATGAAGTATATAGAATGCAGATCAATGTTTTATTGAGAAAATGGCAGAAGCTAAATTATTTCTAAACTGATATTTCTAAATTTTATTATTTGATTAAATTCAGATCATATATTATGTTGTATATTTAAATTATATAAAACTTATACACCCAAATGTATATACCAAAACCCTTCTATATGGAGAAAGCATAATATTATGAAGACCTGAAAAAATTATAATAAAAAGCTACAAAATGTACTAATTAAAATCATGTATATAAGTATGTATGTATGTATGTATGCATATATATATATGTTTTCATGAACACATTTATGTCTCCAGTAAATTAACTGGGCAATGAGTGTATTGTCAACACCACCAGAATGCTGGTAAGAATATTGCCAATTAGTTAATACTCAAAAGTCATAAAGTTTGTACATTATTGTAAGGACAACCAAATGGTTATTTAGTCATGTTCAGAGCAGGACAAAAAAAAAAAAAGAAAGAAAAGATAGGTGCTCTTCTTGTGACAAAGGTGTTATAGTGGTGGATAGGCAAAAAGAAAAAGCGAAATGAATTCAGCCTTGTTTCCACAATTGTTCTCAAATAGGAAAGGGTAAAAATAAATATTGACTGAAGAGAACTGCTAAGTAGACAAAGTGATTACAGAATAGAATGTATGAACTCTCTTTTCAATAAGTTTCAGTCAGACAAATGATAGAACAAGAAACTGAGAGACCGAAACAAAACTGTCAAAGATGACTTTTATGGAATCATTAAGAATATTCAGATCTGTAAGTTTCAAGATAAGTGTATGAGTTCTCGTTTGCTTAAGACAAATCATAATAATAATGTGGTTTTCAAAGACTATTCACTTAGTAATTCAATAATATTCCCACGTAAGAAAATAAAACATTTTATTAAAAGGTTTGGGATTTCGTTTTTAAAATCAAGATGACAAGGAAGCTTCACAGCTTGGTACAAGAATAAGTCATATCAAACCAACCTCATCTCCTGTTTTTCTGGGTCACCAGACAGGAAAATGAGGGAAATGTGTTGAATGTTGCTTACTTTCAGAAAAATATTTTTCAAAATGTTCTAATTAATATTCTTATGAATAAGATTAGGAAATATGGTCATGGAGATATCATAAGAAGATGGATTCTCAGTAGATTCCATTACAATCCCCAACAGAACTAAACTCCATTACTGTTAAGTTGGTGGGAGGTTTTCATGATGAGTTATAGAAGTCTCTTAAATTCTTCGTCCACTCAACTTTTATTCATTAATAATCTACATGATGATATAGAAAATATGCTTATCAAATATTTAAAATGAGCCATAATTAGAAGTACTCCTAGTGAAGTTATTTTTGACTATTTTTATTGAAGTACAATTAACATATAGTGTTACATTAGTATCAGGTATACAATATATTGATTCAGTAATTCCATACATTACTCAGTGCTCATCACTATAAGTGTACTCTTAATCTCCTTTATGTATTTCACCCATACTCTCACCCACCTCTCCTCCGGCAGCCACAAGTTTGTTCTCTGTATTTAAAGGTCTTTTTGTTTGTTTGTTTCTTTTTTCCTTTGTTTTGTTTCTTAAATTCCACATATGTGTGAAATCATATGGTATTTGTCTTTATTTGTCTAACTTTTTTCACTTAACATTATGCCCTCTAGGTCCATCCTTGTGGGACCTGGCAAATGTCAAGATCTCATTCTTTTTGTGGCTGAGTAATATTCCATTATACACACACACACACACACACACACACACACACATATCCATATATATATATATATACACATCTTCTTTATCCATTAATCTACAGATAGACCCTTGGGTTGTTTCCATATCCTGGTTATTGTAAATAAGGCTACAATAACCAAAGGGGTACATGTATCTTTTTTAATTAGAGTTTTAATTTTCTTTGGGTAGATACCCAGTAGTAGAATTACTGGATCATACAGTATGTCTATTTTTAATTTTTTTTTAAGATTTTTTTAAATTTATTTATTTGAGAGAGAGAGCATGAGAGGGGGGAGGGTCAAAGGGAGAAGCAGACTCCCTGCCGAGCAGGGAGCCCAATGCGGGACTTGATCCCAGGACTCCAGGATCATGACCCGAGCCGAAGGCAGTCACCCAACCAATTGAGCCACTCAGGTGCCCCTCTATTTTTAATTTTTTAAGGAAACTTCATACTGTTTTCCACAGTGGCTGCACCAGTTTGCATTCCCACCAACAATGCAGCAAGGTTCCTTTTTCTCCCCATCCTTGCCAGCACTTGTTATTTCTTGTCTTTTTGATTCTAGCCATTCTGACAGGTATAAGGTAATATCTCATTGTGGTTTTGATGTGCATTTCCCTGATGATGAATGATACTGAGCATCTTTTCATATGTCTGTTGGCTCTTTGTATGTCTTCTTTGGGAAAAAATGACAATTCAGGTCCTCTGCCCATTTTTTAATTGGCTTATTTGTTTTTTGGGTGTTGAGTTGTTTAAGTTCTTTATGTATTTTTGATATTAACCCTTTATCAGGTATATCATTTGCAAATATTTTCTTCCATTCAGTAGGCTGCTTTTTTTGTTTTGTTGATGGTTTCTTTCACTGTGCAGAAGTTTTTTATTTTGGTGTAGTCCCAATAGTTTGATTTTGCTTTTGTTTCTCTTGCCTGAGGACACTATTTAGAAAAATGTTTCTACAGCTGATGTCAAGGAAATTACTGCCTGTTTTCTTCTAGGAGTTTAATGGTTTCAGGCCTCACTTTTAAGTCTCTGATCCATTTTGAGTTCATTTTTGGGTATGGTGTAAGAAAGTAGAAGGGCTACTAATGAAGTTATTTATTCAACAAATAAAGGATACTTCAGTAACCACCATGGGACAGACATATTGCTAGATGCTAGAGTAAAAGATATGAGTAAGACACTGAGAATCTTGCAATATCAGGAACTTAATTTTTCTCCTAGTACAGTGACTGGAGCATAGTATAGAGCCAAATTAATATTTTTTAATTAATGAATTAATCAATGAATCTTAGCCTGCAGTTAAAATTAATATTTAGCCAAAGCTGAGGTCAAAATTGAATATTACTATCAGAGAAAGAACTGCCTGGATAAAATATTAAATATGAAATGTTATCCAAATATCTTGACTATCATAATTTCATATTTATAATGGAATAGATTTTAAAAGTTTGGTATTACAGTTTAGGAACAATTATTCCTTTGCACTGTCAACTGCAAGATTGCTTCTATAGTCAATTTATTGCACATTTGTGATATTAAACAGAGGCTCACTTTCAATGCAGGTTACTGGAAGAGCAAGGAGAAATGAGTGTAACTCATCCTTCTCTAACAGTTTCTTTCTTTTCTTTATACTTTATATTTATAACTGAACTGATGATTTATCATACATTTATTGTATATGATTCTGGAAATTTCCCCCTCTGTAATTTTGAGGTGGCAGAATTCATATTCTGCTTTTAATTCACCTCCATATGATGTGAGAAATTCTTCCCGTAAGAACTTACTTCATAATTCCTGGCTTAAATGAAATTAAATAACTAAAAACTACAAACAGTTTTTATGTAATTTGGTTTCATGTTATAAATACTAATATAACAAATTATTCTATAAAAAGAGAATTATGATATGTTAGTTTCTGTTACTCTTTATATTCTTATTTGTTTTATAAATATTTATGAGCTCAGAGAGGTTATTATATTCTTCCCAAAGTTATCTGGCTAATACACACTGTTGATATTTGTATTGGCTGTCACTATCTTTTCATACTTATTAAATTATTTGAAAATGTTTAACTGCTTTTACATATCAAATTACTTCCATAATCCTTATTAATTATTGTAACATTTTCCATTTCCATTATCAAAATGTATATACTCATCAATTGGCTGAAAGAGTTCCTGAAATTTTTATTCCAAGTTCTATCTAAAATGTGTATCTATATTCAAAAGTGAATATGCAGAAATTAACAATAAATCCATCAGCATCCTTGATTGTATTAGCACTTTGCTGAGTAATTATGATGGTAACCTATGTAATCACAATTCATTCATCATGAACAATCTCACGGATATCAGATAGCATGTTTAAGTAGGCATTTGGCGATTTGGTCTTCCAAAGGCTGAAGCCAAAACTAGATCATTTCGATTGAATACCAAAGCTGATGCCAAACTTCATGTATGTCAAAATGCATTTTTTAAGATTCCCTCTTGGAATATTTACTACACAATATACAAAGGGTGAGAGAACAAAAGGACACGCTTTCAGGAGTCAATGTAACATTGGGAGCTGTAGATACCTTTAGTAGTGTGACAGACATGACCCCTTCCCATCATTGAGGCAACAGTTTTGTGGGGATATCAGCCAATAAAAAGTAATCACAAAAATAAATATATAACTATAAACTATGGTATGTTCCATCAGAGAAAATATAAGGTGCTTTGAGACTACATTGGGGAAAGTAATTTAAATGAAGAGTCAGGAAAAGCCTGTTTGAGAAAATGACATTCAAGGTGAGAACTAAAGGACATGTGGGATTTAGTTCAGTGAAGCTGGGGAGAAAGAATATTTCAGAGAGAAAAGTTTGACTAATCCTCGTAGTGGGCTGATAGAGGAGGCCTGTCAGTGGCACTGGGAAGACTTAAATCAGGAAAAGAGTCACAGAAGCTTCTGGAGAGGCCCGGGGGGCCAGATCTTGTAACGTTTGACAAGGCATGTTAACAATTTTGGATTTTATCCTAGATATAATAGGAAGCATTTCAAGAGTTGTAAGCAGGAAATTTTCACTTTTTAAAGATTGCTCAGACTACTGAAGAGAAAGAATTGGAGGGAAGAATGAAATGAATAAGTTACATTATTTTAAATAATTCTTCATAAAAATGAACTATATCCATCTTCACCCATGCTATTAGAATTTTCTTGTTTTTGCAGATTGAAGAATTTACCATTCTCATTTACCAAACTTAAAGAGCTTGCAGCTTTGTGGCTTTCTGACAATCAGGTAAAAACTTTTATTACCTGATTTATTTTATTTATTAAGATAAACTCTAATTAAAACTTTGAATTACTAACTTATTCCCAGTAGATACCCTTGACAATTACTACAAAATATAGATTCTTTATCTTCTAGAAGAGAGATTTTTGTAACGATAGCAATTCAAGTATGTATTTCATTGCTACAGACAATATATTGAGTACTATAATCCCCACCTTCTTTAAACACTCCGATTTAGCATTTACTTCATTCTCAGAGATCTAATACACAAAATGATCATTTTTATACCTTTTGATTTCTAAGTAGTCCATGTATGTCCTCAGGAACATTCTCTAATTATATCTCTGAAGATAAAGAATAACAAATCATTAACACAATTCCCATGGAGGGAATTATTATCCTACATGATTTTTTTATACTGTTAATTATAATCAACTTAATTCTAAAACTTTATACAAGAAGTTTTCAGATCTTTTTTGGAACTATTTTCAGTACTTTCTGTGAAATTGGTTTGATATTATTTTTTATACTCACTAAAGTAGATTATAATTGAATCAGTAATTGAGTGTTAATGAATAACTTTAATAAGGAAAATAACAAGAAACAGTTGAAGACATCTGATTTGCCACCAGGAAAAAACTGGTTATGGACAATTTTGACATAGTTTATTGGTCTTTTTTACTTTTTTCTTATAATCCTAAAATTTTGAAACACCTATTCCCAAATATGAATAGCCAAATGAAAACAAATCATCTTGAATTTAGTTTCTTATCACTATTTCCTGAGCATAAAAGCAGACTTATTGGTAAATGAATTGTTCAGACTTCTAGGTATTGGGCTACTTCTGCGAAAAAATAAATCTCTACAAAATATAAGTGCTAGAATGTTTGTATTCCTACAGTCATTATAGCACTTGCTTCCATCTGCTGAGTAAAAAAAAATTAGATTGTCATTCAAATTCAAATCTTATCAATGAACTATAGATTTTTTAAGGCATTAATATATAATTATAAATAAATCATTTTTGGATTCAATGTGAGCTATGCTAATGGAACAGTCAATGCTACAGTCTTGCATTGTGAAAAAACATCCACTAATATCATGATTTATTCTTCTTGTGGGAGAATGAACTGAACAGTGACTGCATCATTTAACTTTTATTTAGAACCATGATTTAATGTGTTTCTGACTCAGTTTCATGAGACAAGTTGGTATCCCAAATCCCCTTTGTGCTTCACTCCTGTTGATAAATGTCATGAAATAAGTGGATTTTTTAAACATTAGGTATCATCATTTCCAATATATTTATATGTATAGCATATAATATCAGAGTTCTAAAACTCCCTTCAGAAATAATATTTCTAAAATCAAATTAAGTAATATTCCATTACTATCCATAAGAAATATATTGTTGATAGAGCAGATACAGAAAGTACAACTGTTTATTTTTATGTAGACTCTGTCTTTGGTTACAAAAATATCTCTTAAAAAATGCTTATGTTTTAATCTAATTAAATTCATAGATGATCTTGGAATAGCATGAATTTGATAGCAATTTCCATTTGTCTTTTTAGGGCAGCAGCTTGTGAAAATGAATGAGCATATAGAACCACACCAAAAGCTCACTTATTTGAAACAATTTAATACATCTTGATCTCTTTAAGATTAAAACTGACATTGCCAGTGAAGATGAATAGGTTTTGTAAAAGAGTATACTAGAGAAAAAGAGACTCTCAGCATGAAGACCTTAGAATTTGAGAATATTCCTCAGCAATAGTTTTATTTCATGAAATCCTTTCTTATTTCATTACTTTTTTCCTTGCCTTTCTTTTAATTGTCCATTCAGCTCCGTGAGGCCAGACTATTGACCACTATCTTCTATAAAAGTATTCTTAATATTTGCTATCTTATTAATCTAATTTATATGTTCTTTGCTTCTAGTCCAAAGCCCTTATCCCTTTACAAACTGAAGCCCATCCAGAAACAAAGCAAAGAGTATTGACTAACTACATGTTTCCCCAGCAACCTCGTGGTGATGAAGGTAAATTGTCAGTAAAAATTTCTCCTATGCTTATATGATAATGGATAAAACGTATTAATTTTATTCTGATCTCTGGACAGGAATCCTGGCCCATGGGCAAGGCTATAAAAATAATTACACAACACATACAAATCATCCAGGGGTTAACCCTAAGCTTAAATCTTACCTTCCATAATCAGCAAGGAAGAAGTCAAACTTTCACCTTTTGCAGAGGACATGATATTCTATATAGAAAACTTGAAAGACTCCACCAAAAAACTGCTAGAACTGATAAATGAACTCAGTAAAGTTGCAGGATACAAAATCAACGTACACTATAATGTTTTAAATAAGATTCCAAAAACTAACTCTCCCTCTTCTTATTTTATGTGAAAATATTGGTTTTTAGGAACAACTTCTCTTGGTAGATTGCAAGACATGACTAGTTCACTAAATGTAGTATCCAGCTAACTGAAAGGAGCTAAGAAGAGTCAGACCTTAAGGAAGGTTCAATGAACTGTTTTATTCTCTGTGTTCACCAGTTTCATGGACACAATTTAAACATTTTGTCCGGTGATCCCAGGCCCCAAATTATTTCATGTTAAGAGTCAACCATAAAGAAATGACTTGAAAATAATGACCATTCTTTGTCTTTCAGGTTGAATTTCTCTAAATGATGTCAGTAGCTCTGATAGAAATACTTATTGAAAACCTAAACCATTTTTTTAATTTTTAAAAAAAAATTTTTAAAGATTTTATTTATTTATTTGAAAGAGAAAGAATGAGTGAGAGAGAGCACATGAGAGGGGGGAGGGTCAGAGGGAGAAGCAGACTCTCTGCCTAGCAGGGAGCCTGATGTGGGACTCATCCGGGACTCCAGGATCATGACCTGAGCCGAAGGCAGTCGCTTAACCAACTGAGCCACCCAGGCGCCCCCCCCGTTTTTTTTTTTTAATTAAATCTTCTATCCTTTATGATGACAAATTTCATAAAATTTTTATGAAAGAGATTTGTCCTTTACCATTTGGAACTCTGCATCGGCTCCTTAGCCCAAGCCAGAACAGGCTGCCACACATATTTTCTACAGTCTTACAGTAATGGTAATACTTAGAAGAGTAAACCCACTTTAATGCACCCATGGACTAAATCCACCCAGTTGACTTGAATGAGAGCATCTTTTAAAAGCAACTATCTGTTTATGGATCTATTTTCAGGGATAATTATAATAAACATCTTTAGTCTTTATGACTTATAAATATAAGTGAATCATTTTGGGATACTTTAGAATATTTTTATTCACATTTTGACTTAAAAAAGTAGGAAAAGGAAAGATTGTTTTCATTTTTTTTAAGACTTCAGTAAAACTGATCTTTTGAATTTATGCAAGAGAGGGCACCATGTTTACATAAGCTATAAGAAAGACCTTAAGGAAGGATTGTTTTTATTCATACAACTTTACTTATATTTTCATATTAGTATCCCTAGATTACCAAAATATTTCATTTCCAAAAAAATGTAGGGAAAAGTGAAAAGAGTCTCAGATTTGCTAGTCATTTCTGAGATACTGTCTCGCAGATGAAATCCCTTATTTATTGCAGGGAGTGAGGTAGATCTAGTCAGGCAAGGTGTATGATGTTAAGGAATTAGCCTGGTTTTGTTTTGTTATGTTTTCCTTTGAGGAAAGACGACTTGGTAATAGAAAAATTTTCTTGAACTTTAAGTAAGTCATCCTTTGGCTTTTCAGGCAGAAGTATAATAAATGAATTTTCAGAATCCCTTGCAACAAAGAAGGAAATATATGATAAAGGGCATCTTTTGGGAAAGAATTTAGCCTAAACTAAGTACTTGTATTGCGTTTTCATGTGATCTTCACAATTAATGTTGGTAAGGAAGATATTACTATTAGCCTACATTTTGATATAAATTAAAGATTTATAAGCCACTTATTTTCCTTGTTCATTTGAGACATACTTAGACCAGTTTTTAGACCATAATTTTAAAGTTACCCTAAAAACAAGCTCCCTTCCATTACCCCCGCCACCACATACACACACTAAAAAGAAAAGCTTGCAATCTCACACACTTTACTGAAAAGCCAATGTTATGTAGTATCTTTTATAAAATCCTAATAGAGTTTAGTGGCTACAGTAATGGGTATGGGCTCTGTAATCGCACAGACATGGAATAGAATCCTGCATTGACCCAGAGAAGCTGTAAAACTTTGAGCAGTTCTCTTAAAATTCACCTAGAGTTTTCTCATTAACAAACTGAGGATATATTAGTACTACCACTGGTGTGGTAGTGTGAAGATTTTAAAAAATAATGTTTTAAAATGTGTAGTCCAGCTGTCTTTATTATTATTATTAATTATCCTTTGGAGAGCCTGTTCTCTACACTAGAAAACTTCCCAATCCCAATATATAATTAATATGTACTTAGGAAAGCTGAATTTGAATTAAGATGTAAAAAAACCATGTAACAAATATCAAGGGAATTTTATTCCCTCTCTTTCTTTCCTTCTTTTTTCCTTTCTTTCCTTCTTTCTTTCTCTTTATTTTCCCCTTTTTAAAATTTTTGTACTTGTTTGTATACCTATTGCCATTTTTTGCATAGTGTACCGAGCTCTATTAATAACACCTCATGTAAAAAGAAAAAGCAATAATACTTTGGAATCTAACTGTAGATTTCCAGTCAGACAGTGACAGCTTTAACCCTACACTGTGGGAAGAGCAGAGACAACAACGCATGACTGTTGCCTTTGAATTTGAAGAAAAAAAGGAAGATGACGAAAATGCTGGGAAAGTTAAGGTGAAACTTTTCATTTTGTTTCTTCTTTCTTCTCATTATTTTTGTTTGTCCATTGTTATGATTAAAATAGATTTTGGGACAGATTGAGTGACCTCTGCTTGAAGGTCAGCTACATCTTCACATCTCCTTCATTATAGCAGGAGGGTAATCTGAGAAGCAGTGGTGTGCTTCAGAATGAGACTCATGTCCCAATTCTGACTGAGCAAATTTGATACACCACCCCATCTTACAGAGTAACAACATGAAAGAGATTCAAGGTGAGAGAAAGCCAAAACAAACAAAGGAATCTGAGTGATAGGCTTTACCTAAGCAACTTAGTACATTTTTGAAATACTGGAATGGTTTTATTCTAATCACTAAGCAAGGCACCAGGCAGGCCATATGAGACCAAAAAATACATTTAGGGAAGAGACCATGGATTAATATGTTATATTGGCTTTAAAATATCTGAAAGATTTTATGTCTCTGGAGTATCTGAGAAGAATTTATGAGTTTTCTGAAATGAGAAAGCAAGTTTTAAAGGAGGCAAGTGCCTAGTAGCAGGTGATATTCAATTTTTTCACCTCAAACATCTTTTGTAAAAACTTTTATTGGAACTAATCTAAGTCAAGTAACAAAGTGGAATTTTAAAATCTATATTTTTTCATTATTTAAATTTGAAGTGCAGAGGAAATTTTATCAACATCAGATCTTCATATTATCATCACAGCAACATCTTGAATCTCTAATCTTTTATAGTATTATTTGTGTACTTTTTCCATCATGAATACTAACAGCTCTCCCTCTGAGTGACTAATTGCCTAAGTAATTGTATGTGCATCCTATTAATAGATCTAAATTGTGTAATGTGTTATTTTCTGTCCCCTCATTCCCACATTTTCTAAACTTTTTTCTTAAACCAACACACCCTGGAACCTTACTAGATTTAGACAGTAAGGTAATTGACTACCTCTACATCATTGTGGAAAATCCAAAATGGATTCCCAAATCAAAATGATAGTTTTGATAAGATTTGAGTTTAAAAAAATGTTTCTGGATGCTTGGTTAGTGCTATCTAATAACCAAAGAAACATTTTTTTTTAACTTGTGAATTTCTGGAAAAAGCAATGCCAAACTAAACAAAGACCCTTATAGCATTTAAGTTCTTCTTTTAAGATTTCATATGTTAAATCTAGAACCAATGGATGATGCATTCTATACTGGACCTCTGATTCATTCTTTTACTTCACTGAATGTCAAAAACTACATACTTAGTCCTAAAAATCCATATTCAAAGGATCTAATAAGAAAATAGTATGCTTAATGTACTCTGGTATATGTGTCAATGAAAACATAAAATGCAAACAGTTATTTAGAAGCCCTGTTTGTGTGTTATGTGGTCAGGTTTGTTTATAATCAGAGTAGGTTCATTATACTTTAGATTGCATTTTCTTTATGCTTATTTATATTTGATTTATTTATATTTTGGTGAAACAGTATGTGTTTCAAAAATCTCAAACACTTGGTTTTGACTAATTTGAATATTTCCAATGCCATTGAGCTATTGGACAAATTAGAACACAAACAAACTTCTAAATAAATCATCATGAAAGTATGATGAACGGAATATACAGAAATCTTACACTAAATCACACTTTTCTGGTTCATTACATATACATTAAATTTAGCACCATTTTACCTTTCATTTACATAAAATTTAGGAAGGAACCACTGACCTCTGCCATCAACTTCCAAATGGACTAGAGTACAATGCCCTACTTATAGAGTGTATAGTGTAATATGAATGCTGCATTGTGTGAAAAAGTTGTGACCCATTAGCTTCACATGATATTGATACTGTTTTATTACAAAGAGTTCAAACTAATTTTCTGATGGTTGTTTTAAGTGCATTACCCAGAGTGAAAAAAAAATCAAGAGTAGAAAAATGATAAAGTGAAAGTATTGCTACAGTGCTCCTCTTTCTCCCAGAAAATGGAGATTCCTTCTCCCACAGGATCACTCCTGCCAAGCCCCCTGGGAAAGGGGCCAGCGTGGGATTACTCTCCAACCTGCCAGACTGTCTGGCGATTGCTGCACACCATGGGCCAGGTGTGATCAGCAGATCCAAGATATGCCCGTCCCCCAGAATGACCCACAGCTGGCATGGGGTTGTATAAGTGGCCTCCAGCAGGAAAGGAGCATGTGTACTCCATTGCCAGTTGCAGCACAATCCACCACTCTTCCCTCTCTAAGTGGCAGACAGGTAGGCCTAGGTGTTTGGGGTAGGAGAATCCCCCATGTAGAGGCAACTTTGGAACAGTGGTTTATGGGGTATGTTCTGCATGAATTGGGGTAAGAAATGTTGATCCTACAGAAACCATCCAATTGCCAATGTTTGACCTCATTTTTTTTTTTGTTCGTTGACATTGGCGATGGGGTGGAGAGATCAAGTCACGGGGTGGGGAGCACCAATAATAAGGTGCCTAATGGTGGGATATATGGCATGATTTTTGAGTTGGGTGCTTCATTTTTATTTATGTTTTTATTTTTAAAGATTTTTTTTCTTTAAAGTGTGGGAATACCAATAGTTGAGCAGAATGTTGATGACACTATTGATAAAATCTAAATTGCCCCCACACATACACACATTTTTGTATTATCAATTCAGAGGGAGATTAAGTAACTAAAACCTGATTTTTAAAATAGCATGAGATTTGAATTGAGATTTGTTGAGAGTGGACTTTGAGCACAAAGATGGACATCTGTTGAAAAGCATCAATTTCCCTCTAATTTGAAGGCACAAATGATGAGAATTCCTGTAAGAGAAGATTGGTTTGGGAGTTGTGGCAAACAGGGCTTCCTTATCTCAGTGGGTTGGGTGTTTAAAAGTTCAATGAAAAAAAATGTCTTCATGGGATTGGAAAGAAGACTACATTTTTGGTAAGCTTTACCATTCACATGTAATGGACTAGATTCTTATTCTGTGTCTTATATTCTTTCTGCAATACAAGGCCAGCTGAGAATCCTAACTGAAACTCCTATAGGTTTCCTTTCTGTGTAAAATGCTCTGATTAATTCCCAGGATAAGGTCCCTAATGATCAGTAATCAAAGCATTAACTATTTCTTCTCTTACTGGAATTTACAGTCAAACCAAATTAGAATTTAATCATTATATAAGAAAACCACAGTTCTTTGAGAATTCAAGATACCATCTCTAAATGCCCTAGCTATTAACAATAATTTTTTCTTCCATTGCTAAACTTTTGGGAGTCTCCAACATCTTGCAGCTGCTATTTGCATTTACTGCACTTTTTTTAGATCTGAAATATATAGAATGTTGTGAAACATTTCTATTTTTCTAAAATTAAAATGAAGTAACATTGAAGTGAAAATCTTGCATTTCAATAAAATGTATATGTAAAATGAACAAATACTTTATGGTGAGTGATATACACATTTTGGTAAGAACAAATGACAGTTTTTCCCACCTATTTATATCATAAATGAATTTACATTATTTCTCCATCCCATATTAGAATGAAGGAATATTTCTAGCCTATGTATTTAGAAATATAAAGAAACTGTTCTTATTTGGGCATGACTGAACTATTAATAAAATCGTATTTATGATCATGTTTTTTCATTTCTGAAGCATTGCACAAGAGTTAAAAAGTAGAAAGGCGTAGGCAAAACAATCTGTAAAAGGGTATAAAATATGCTTTTACGGAGCTTACAAACAACAATTATAAAATATTATAGTTTCCCTTAAGAAGAAATTATAAAATAGCTTTATGTTTTAAAAATTGAATTTATCTTGTTATTTAACTCAATAAAATTTACATTTTAGACTTACACACACTATCTTTTCTCCAGGATTGTACAACTATGTGCTTTACTTATATCAGAGAATAGCCCTGAGCCAAGTGACACTTCTGTAGCATAAACTTTGGAGTCAAAGACCTGAGTTTGAATCTGGGCAGTGCTACCCATAGCTGTATGACTTTGGGCAAGGAACTTATACTGCCTGAGCCCTGTTCTCAGGGAGACAGGAACAGGTGCTACAATAGGTTATAAAATTTAAACTATGTTTAATTATAATTATAAGTATTTAATGAATGTTAATAATTATAATCATTTATTATTTATATTCAAATCTATGTGGTACACAATGAAATAAGTATTATATATTATATAAATAACTATTAATAAATTAACTATCCTTATAAAATATTGTACATGTGCCTGGCACATGGCAGATACTGAATAAATGATAGTTGGTGCTGTGTACAATCTGAAAAAAAGTCCAAAAAGTTACAGGTAGTGTGGAGTAACATATATACAGTATATATAGTAGAATCTAAACTGCCAAAAAAATTCAGATTTTAAAAATACCTAAGTAGAATCTGATTTTAGAAAATAGTATCTAATCTCTGCATAGAATTTATACATTTTCAAAAGATTTTCACAGTTATTATCTCATTTTAGCTCTAGATTAACTGGAGATATTATCATTCCCATTTTACATAAGCAGAAACTGGACAGAAAGATTAGTGACTGATAGCTTGTTGGGGGTAAATCTGTGGCTTAAATTTAGGTCTTCTGACTCCAGGTCCACCAAGTTCTGTTGGTAGACTAGTAAATGGGAAGAAAGGAGCTTATTGTCTAGGTGGAACAAATCCAAGTTTTATAAGACCTGAACTTCCCACAGTTTGGAGAAGGGCCTCTTTAAGGAAAAGAATATGAAGTAACCATGTAAATAAAAAAGTAGGGCCCCTCACAAGGCTTTGGAAAGAATGTATGCAGGTGACAGGCTCTAAAGCTTAAGCTTCATTAGCTTGACAAATCTTGTTTCCAAATTTAAATATTTTTCAGAGATAAAGAACCCAAACATATTCTGGTGATATGACCAAAATATCACATTAACTTGCTTATAAAATAACCAGAAAATATTGGCACTGCGGCCATTAGTAAACAGTCATCTAATTGTGTCAGATGAGACATAGCATCTACAAAAAATAGATTACATTATTCAATGTGGAATTTAATTCAATTAAAGAAGAACATTTCACTTTTTTTTTTGCTTTTGATTCAATTTAGAAGTGTAATTTTAGCATTGAAGATTTCTTTAAGGTACATAGAATTTTAATCTATTGCCCTACATGAAAATTAATTTTCATTCATATACCACTGGTTATTAAAAATTAAAAGATGTTCTTAATTGGCATGATAGCCATACCACTCTACAATCTATATCTTTTAAATGTAGTTTTTTGACTTTTAGCCCTTTGCTCTCAAGTACTTTTAAATGAGTTCAACAATATAATTTAAAATTTAGATTTAATTTGTGATTAACATTTCTAATACCAACTTAAACAGCAGATCCAAGAATGCATGCATCCCAATGGACTTTGTCTAGTATGGATATCATTCTTTTTATGTTTATTTAAGAATGCATTATAAATTAAGTACCCTGGACTATATTTATATTACATTCTAACAACTTACACTTTTTTTCTGAGAAGTCTAAATTTTTCTTAGGTTATATTTTTGTAGCTTTATTTCTATATATTATTAATTTCGTTCTTATTTGTTTGGGAGTATAAAAGACTTCAACAATATTTATACTAGCAAAATTATCTGGTTTTTCCTCAGCTTTCCAAAAATTTATTGGAAAAATAATTTTGATTGTTTAATACTGAAAGGAATGTTAGAAGTCATCAAGTGGAGTCCAATCCCAGTGTTTGATATGGAAAAGGAGCCACAAGGAAGAATAAATATAACAAAGTTGGTGGATTTGCTAAAACTGCAGATGAGCAAAAGTGTTTGAATTCATATTTATAATCCTCAGATCTATACCACCGTCATAGTTTCTTACGTCCCATGAATTACATGGGTGTGGGTGGGTGGGTATGTGTGTGCCCCCCCCCCACTTTCTCCTTTACTCTCATTCCCACTCCTTCCTTCTTCGGCTTTGCTTTCTTCTCCATTCCTCCCAACCTACCCCCACACACACTTTTCACAGACACAAACCACAATCACGTAAACCATTCCATTTTGTAAAGTTGGTTCTACTCAGATGCAAAAGGCATGACGGTTGGAATAAGCCAGGACAAATAAATCTGCTCCTTGTTTTCCTTCCCACTCCCTTTTAATCAGCATGGATAATTTGTATTTATTCCAATTTATGTATATTTTAAATATTCTGATAATGGGATTTTCTATATGGAAGTGTCTCATATTTTCTCTCTCTAAATTAAATGTGAAGAGTAATCATTAATATATATGTTCCTCAAAGTCAGATCGATACAACAAAAATGAATTCAAGAATGGAAATAAATATCTGGGTAATATAAGCCAAAATTTACATGTGTATCTAGAATATCTTAGAAAATCTCCTCAATTTTTAAATTTCTTTTTATTTTAAGACATTACCTACAAAGCATGTTGCTTTATTAGGGTAAAAACTAAATATAAAAGCCACCCTGAAGCATATTCTTTTTAGGAATTAACAAGAATTAGCTCCCTGACCTTTTGATATAACATGCTAATTAACATAGAGCTGATGCATATTTGGTAGCAGATACTGTCAGTTCCCCCATTTTTTTAATCCATGATAAACTCTACTTGTAAATCTTTTGGGGTCTCCTCTTATCATCTACGTTGATATTCCAAAGATATCTTTAACATGAAAATAATTACTTATAAATAATTAAGATAGGGAAAGAACAGCCTCTAAAGTATAAAAGCAGCTGATAGTAATGCTTAAAATCTTCAGATTACCAGTCACTTATATGTTTGACCTACTGCTATTTCAACCATCTGCAGAGTAGGTCTAAAGATAGAATAAAACCCCAAAAATTCGTTTTAATCTAGAAGGTGGACAGGGTGGGAAGAGGCCCCATGAGGGCAGAATGTGCTCTACTCTACAACACAGTTTCTCAGCCAGCTCAACACTCACTATATTGCATTTGGTTTTACTACTGCACATAAAATGGAGTAGTTTTGTGAACATGTTTGCCGAAGGTATTTTTATGTTAAATTTCTTTTTATAAACTTCTAGGTTGAAATAAACCTAAAACGATATCCAACTCCTTATCCAGAGGATTTAAAGAATATGGTAAAATCTGTTCAAAATCTGGTGGGTAAGCCAAGCCATGGAGTGCGTGTTGAGAATTCAAATCCAACTGCTAACACGGAGCAAACTGTGAAAGAAAAATATGAACACAAGTGGCCTGTAGCCCCAAAGGAGATTACAGTGGAGGTATTTCAAGGTTATTGGTAATTGCCAGTGTGGTTTGGATTTTTTGGAATTACTAAATTATATGTCTTTTTAACTGATTAGATCTTCTCTGATAAGTGCCTTTTTCCCCCTAAAATATAAATAAGTCTCTCTACTTTTTCAAAATACGAGGGTTGCATTTAATAAATTACAGGTAAATGATACCCTCATGGCCTAAAAATACTAATAAAGCTCCAAAAGTTCCAATACACACAGAAGGAATAACTTGCTCACTCAGCTAGGCCTGGCCAATAAGTGCATTATATCATTTTCACTACACTCTTTTGGCTACCCCAAACTTTTATTGTATGAGTCATTAGAAAAGACTAAATGAAGATTTTTTTTTTTTTTTTACTCTACAAATCTCAGTGAGATTCTTGATCAGATTTAGAGCCAATTTTTTGTTTGTTTGTTTCTGTGTTTGGATTAAAACCTTTATAGGAGACACTTTTATAAACATGACAAAGAGGAGATAAGTTTGAAATTTAGCTTTTCTGGATCTAGCCATGTGAAACTTAATTCCTGTGTTTTAGAATCAACTAGATATTTATCCTTATCAATTTGTGTGGTCTGAAAAGAATTCAACTACATTTATGCCACCTCTGTACTATCTCATTCACTCTTCAGCTAATTTGGTTATCACCTTTTTATCTTCATTAGAAACATAACTGGTATGAATGAGTACGTCTAGAAGTTACTATATCTACTTCTCAAAAATCTAGGTTTGTGAAACTCTTTTACAAATCTGCATTTCACAGCATCAATTTGTTGCACTGATTAAACACCAACTGTATATTTAGCACTGTGCTAAATACTGTGAGAGAGAGAAAAGAAATATAAAATGTACACATAGTCCCCGACTAACTTAGAGCCTAGCCAAGTAAAATTACCACAGATGAAGTAATTAGAGAACATATCATATAAAATATGATCACATGATTAGTTGTGTGATGGAGAATATAATACTTTAAGAAATTGGAGAGAAGCAATCACTGCCAATCAATTAAAAAGTTATGTGAAACAGTTTAAGGTTGAACTGCGTATTGATAATGGGGTGATTTTTTTAACGTCAAAAGAGAGGAAGTCATTCCAGACAAAGGGAAAAGCTTGAGCAAAAATAAGCCTGGTGTGAATATCTGCCAGTGGAGGTACCAGCCCGCCCCAGAAAAGAAGAATACAGCCTGGTATCCAGGGAAGAAAATTTAAGTAAATACTCATTTTTGTTGTTTTTTTTTCTTTTTGCTTATGAAATCAGTATTATTGTACTTTTTCCTTTCTAAAATATTACAGATATGCAATAGCAGAGAAACAGACTTTTCCTTTATCTCTAAGACACTCCAATAATATAAAAAGGAAGAAAGCCAACATTTAGGAGGTCCACACTAAATACACATACACTTCATATTTAAACCTCATGCAATCACAGTTTAACATTAAAATAATTGTGAGGTCATAATAACCCATAAACTGAGTAATTTTCCTACAAAATAAGAAGATTCTAAAATTACTTAATACAGGATTGGGATAGGTGAGGCAAGGAAAAGATGGCTTTGGATATCGATTTTTTATAACCCTTGTAGAGAAAGTAAATCTTAAAATTATCCCACAAGCACTTCAAACTTGAAAAATCCAAAATTATATTTAATGTTTCTTCCCCAAATTTACTTCTGCTCCTATATGCCCAACCTTGATCTCTGCCAGCACTGTTATCTACTAGCTTACTCAAGCTAGAAATTTGGAAGGTATCCTGATTTCTTTTTCCTTCTTTCTCCCCACTCACTGCCCCTTCCAAACAGTCACCTAAATCTACATTTTCATCTAAGTGTATCTCTTCAACCTCCTCAGGCCCTCAACTCTGTCCTGCATTATTATAAAAACTGTCAACTTCTTGGCTTACATTGTCCCCAGCCCCCTCATTACTTTGCTAATGCCCTTTTTATTTATTTTTTTAAGATTTTATTTATTTAAGAGAGAGAGACAGAGAGAGAGCCCAAGCAGGGGGAGAGGCAAAGGGAGAGGGAGAAGTAGACTCCCTGCTGAGCAGAGAACCCAATGAGGGACTCGATTCCGGGACCTGAGATCATGACCTGAGCCAAAGTTGGACACTTAACCAACTGAGCCACCCACGTGCCACTAATAATGATCTTTTTAAGACACAAATCTAATTTGCCCTCCTTAAAAACACTTATTTCCTATCTAATTGAAACTCAATCTTAAGCTTTATAATTATTTCAGTGATTCATCCCACCCTTTCTTAGTTTTTTTTCTTCTCCTGACCTTTTATCTTGAACAGAAATCTCACAGGTAATTTCAATACTTTTTCTAAAACTGTGATTCTAGATCTTCTTTCCCCAACTTTTAGCCATCCTAGAGCAAAGAGAAAGTATTGCTTTTTTATCATCCTCCCTTCTTGAATTGCTCATCCAGGTCAAGGGACCACACTCCATATTTTCAACTTCCAAATAAAATAAATACAGATGGCCAAGTGTCCCACTGACCAGTGTATATGAAACATTTTATTGTATGTTTTGCACTTGTATGATATTTTTGAGTCATTATTTAGTTCATACTGTCAAGAATATGGAAGAGAGTATCACACACTGCATGATACATTTATCCATATGGTTAAATATGGAAAACCAAGGAGCAAAGAATAGAGGTAGGCAGAACCAGAAACAGAAATGATAAAAATAAACACGGTAAATGGATTACAAATGCAGCAGAGGAAAAAAGGAAAAGGAAAGGTAAATCAATATTTATTGATCACTTTCTATTTGCCAACCCTATGCCAAGAGTTTTAATATACGTTATGCTAAACAAAGAATACAGCTGGGAGGGTCATATGAATAAGGAAGACGGGGAAGTATGAAGGTTGTCCTCTACTTCCATATTCCTTTATATAAGTTTTATGAAGTTTACATTTGCTTTTTCCCTGTGTCTTAGTCCATTCAGGCTGCTATAACAGAATACCATAGACTACATGGCTTATAAACAAAAACATTTATTTATCACCATTCTGGAGGCTAAGAAGTCCAAGATCAAGGTACTAATAGATTCAGTGTCTAGTAAAGGCCTACTTCCTGGTTTGTAGATGGCCATCTTCTCTCTGTGACTTCACATGGTAGAAGGAGATAGGGAGCTTTCTAGGGTCCCTTTTACATTGGCACTAATTTCATTCATGAAGGTTCTATCCTCATGACCTAATCGCCTCCCAAAAAGATCCCACCTCCAAATATCATCATATAGGTTTCAACTTATGAATTTTGAGGGGACACAAACATTCAGTATGTAGCACCCAGCTCTTTATATGACTAGCACTTCCACGTCTTTTCAAGTTTTAGTTTAGAGATGACCTCAATAGGAAGGCCTTCCCTGATCACCAGGATCAGTAGAACCTCTGATTTTCTCTATCACGTCATCCTGTTTATTTGTGTTAAATGTAAGGAAAACATTTATGATTATGTTGTTTATTAACTTCAGACTGAGTTTCATGAGGGTAGGAACCAGGTATGTCTTGTCTACCATTGTCTTTCTGGTATCTAGCACAGTGCCTACTACAGAGTCAGACACAACAAATATCTGTTCAGTACATGAACAACTGATAGAGTCTAGTTGTAATACCGATAACATGTCTGTCTCTACATCCAATTAGAAGTTAATTGAGGGGAAGAACAATTTCTCTGAGTTTTTGTCAAATCAATCACTAATTGTTGGCTGCCATACCTATTTGTGTTTTATCACCTATGTGTTGAATAACATGTATTCTAAAAACAACAATTTACCATATTAAAACATTAATATAATATGAGGAAAGGCAAAATATCATGATGAAGACTATTGGGAGAGTGAGAAGAGCAGGGAAAGAGGAGGGAAGGAAGGAAGAAGAATGGTATGGTAAATAAAGCTATGACATGAAATGAGTAAAGGCTAAGTGTTCTAAAAATCTTGGTATACAAATGCCTCTAGTGTCTTAGTAATTTTGTTACAAGGATCATAGACCAAAAGAAGTACCTAACAGTTCCATTTATTAAGTAGTAGGTCTGAACAACTTAGTAAATATTTATGCCCTGCCTAGTGGTCATTTGAAGAATAATACACATAAATTGAAAGGGAAAATAATAGTTTTATTTCATGCTTAAATAACAAAACTACTTATTAATGAAATGTGTGCCCCTGTGGGATACCACTTATCTTCTCAAACCTTGGAATCATATTAGATACTACAATTCTGTTTCACATTGATTTTCAAATAGCACTTGATTTTTGATCACAGCAACCACCAAAAACCCAGCCTCACAAAGATTGTCATCAAAAGGAAAGTGCAATCTAATATTAAAACTGAGAGCCACCAATTCACACAGTATCTGACTGATGTCAAGTATTGCTTTGTTTCCCTCAAATATTTAAATTAACCCATGTGTTCCTGTGATGAATTAAAAACAGCACCACAGGTACCTTGGAGCACAGTTTAGGAACAAGAGAAAGTGCTTTCGAGTCTAGTAGACATTAATTGAATTTACCTTGTTACCAATTTTGTGATCTTGATAAGTCATTGAAAACTTTCTGAGCTCTGCTTTTTATATCTTTAGAGCTACAGATAACAATAACATTTAGAGTTTTGTGGAGATAAAATCAGATGAAAACAAGTATTTTTATACAGCTGCAAGCACAGTTCTTGGTGAAGAGGAAAGCTACAGTAAATGATAATTCCCTTCCCTTCCAAAAGAGAATGATGTGCTAATCCCGCCCCTCCGCCTTTAATCCTTTTGTGGGCCACTACCCTGCATTACAGAAAACTTCTCACTGGATACCTGTTCACTATGTCCACCATGTTCATAAAGTTTCTGGACTTACTTGTTTGTTAGGAGACTCCACCCAATTTCTTTCTATAGAGAAAACACATCTCTCTCCTGGTAATAGAGAGTAGTCAATTACCCTTGAAAATGTCCTTAAATGTTTTTATTAATACCAGACCTGGACTCCTGAAAGCTCAGACACAAGTTTTTTCCCCCTGTCACTTCTACCTTGGGCTCCCTTTCCCTACAACAGTAGCAGCTGAGATTTAGTTTGAATGACACAAGGTCAATGGGTTAAAGAAATAAAGAGATTCTACCTTTTCTCTCTCCCCCTCTTCTGTCTCCTTACCAGAAGCAAATATGGTTCAAGGTGCTTAAAATGGGACCCTCATTATATTTCATTCCCGACCAATAACTTCCACTGCCTTCACCATAGTAGTAGTCCCAAAAGCTTCACCCACTTTTCCAACGTGAACTTGCAGCCTCTCTAAAAGAATTTATAGAGACAGAATCAATGATTAATTTCCTTTGTTGGACAGTTAACTTGTCTGTTCTGTGAAGTCCAGCTGAGAGGTGAGCTTTTCTTAGGGTAGACAGCAGAGCATACATAGTACCACACAGAAGGCCTTCCAATAGCACAGATCCCAGTTCAAATCTTGGCTCTACCACCCACTGAGTTGGTGACTTATGTGGAATTATGATTTTACCTCTTTGAGCCTCCATTTCCTTAAGTGTAAAACAAAGATAATGATATTAAATAACTTAAAAATAATAACAGTAAAAAACTAGGTTATCAGTTAAGTGATTAACAGAGATGATACAGATAAAGTGTTTAGCATAGTAGCACAGTAGCAGATATGTAATAGATCCTCCATAACTGATGGCATCATCTTCATCATCATCATCATTATCATTTTGCTCATGAAGATAAGTGAGTTTAACTGGATCAGTGGGAATCCACTGTTCTTGCTTCAGTAGTGTTAATCTTCCTAAGTGGAGAGCCACAGAACTCTGGAGAAAAGGGGCAAGCTCATGATTAGCTGATATCAGAGTCTCTTCCTAGTCACTAGAGCTCTTTTTGATTCAAAGTAGAAATTCTTGAGCAGAACCAGAGACTTGAATCTGAGTCATACCATACCTACCATGCCAAGCTCCAGCCACAATCTTGGGATACAAATTTGAAAATTTGATCTATACATGCAAGATAACTTGCACACTGATTGTATAAGTCATAAGGAAAATGAAGTAATGAAGCCCTTAATTATATTTACATTTCTATGCTTGTACAACTCTTTGGTTTCTTTTGTTGACTAAAACAAAATTCCTGTACTTCAGTATCAGGTGTCATAAGAATATTTCCTTTTTCAACTTATTTCAACAAATAAGTTACATTTAGATTCATAGAATGTTAGTACTAGACAGAAAATAGCATTAATTCCTATCATCTATTACCTTCATTTTACTGATGAATTGAATAAGGTACAGAGAGGTACACTGACTTGCCCAAGATAACCTGATTAATAAATGATAAAGCAGGAATGGAAGAGAAATATGCCACCTTGTAATTGAGTATTTTTTGATAAGCCTTAACATATTTTATGACTTTTCATGGTACAATTTCTCAAACTTGTGTCTGCTTCTACTTACAAATTTCTACAAAGATGTGTAAAGGCTTTTACTCTCTATTCTGTCACCTTAAAACTTTATCATAATACCTTGAAATAGTTTTCAAAATCCATGAAAACACAGATTTCCCTCTTCATCTCCAGAATTTCCATCAATCCCTCTCTCTTTCCTATCCCTCTTCAAATCTGGAACGGGATTTTAAAAGTCTGTAATGTGCTCAGTTGAGCTCACTAGGAGGCGGCACAATATAAGGGAAGATTTTGGACATGAACCCAAGAATCCTGCCTCTATGCTGGATCTTGGTCTAATTTTCCCTGTAAGCATGGACCTCACTGAGTCTTAAAATTCACTTGTAGGAAATGAAAGGTTCAGCTAGAAATATTTTCTTTAAAGAATTAACAAGTATCAGATATATACCCAGGTTTTTCACAGACAAATATTCTCATACAAACCTAACCAAAACCAACCCAAAAAATTGAACTTAAGCCAGGAGCTAAAGAAATGTCTGTTTCTTTGCAATACCCAAAGACTTGAGCCTGTCACTCACTATGTGGGGCATTGAAATATATAATAAAAGTTTCTATTACCAATTAGTTATAAAGTGGGACACATTTCATTTACTATATTTGTGTGCTCAAGTATATTCTTTATTTGATTTAACAAGATATTTCTAAATTTATTGCATTAATGTTTTAAACTAACAAGAACTAATTAATGGGAAAACTGAAAAATGCTGAAAATTATTTTTTGAATTCAAATTAACCTAGGGTTAAGAAAAAAAAAAGAAAGAAAGAAAAAGACATAAAGATAACTGCCATGCATAAATTTATATCACTACCTCCCTGTGGGCATAGACAAAACATTTTTATGTGTATAAAAAAGTGAGAATTTGGTATTTTACCTTCCCCAATGCTCTCTCATTATCTGGTTAACTGGAAATAATAATTTTAATTAAAGAAGTTTAAAATTCACAGGCTTTTTTAACATGTTCATTTGTCTTTATAAAGTTATATTCTTGTACCAGTGTTGCTCATTACACTCAATGAATGGATTTAGAATGAAGATTTAGCAAGCTAGATCAATCACGAGAAAATTAGAAACCTTAGGAAGAAGGCATGATAGAACTAAAGAAATTGAGGATAAGATCACTTGGGAAACAGTAGGAGTTAAGAGGGGGATTGGCAATAAAAGCCAGATTTAAAGGACCCAATTGTGCATGAGCATGGTTGAGGACGAAAAGAAATTTAGTTGGTCAGTGATGGACTTTCCCTCTTAGAACTCTTAAGGGAGCCCCCCTCTTAGATTCTTACATGCACATATATATCATATATATATATATATATCATATTCTCACATACAGCTTATCATAATTCAGTAGTGTGTTATAATAAGATGTATCTCATCTCTCCAACTAGATGGTAAATCTCCAAGGGACATGGGTGACATTTTGTCTTTCTTTGGAAACTCTACAGTTCTTTGCACAGTGCCAGGCATATCAACAGGCATTCAAAAAATGTCTGATGAACAAATGGACTCATTTAAATTAGAAAGAACAAAACATTTTAGTACTCACCTCAGAGAAACATATGATTCACCCCAGTGCTCCACAGTGACTTATATTCTAGAGCCCCATCTTTAAATCTGAGCCAAGTAAAGATATTGCCACCTTGATTAACCAATGTTTAAATGTTTACTTTCCTTGTCCTATATTATTATATCTCTCAGGATTCTTTTGTTCATCCAGCTAATGAAATGAGGATTGGGGAACTTCACCCTTCATTAGCTGAGACCCCTCTGTACCCACCCAAACTTGTTCTGCTAGGGAAGGACAAAAAAGGTAACACTGTGAACCTGATGTGGAAAATATGCCACAAATGCATGTGCATGACGAATCACGAGTCGTAACTTATGATACATAGTCTATAGAAATATTTTACAAATATATATTCTTAACATTGTTATGCTATCTGTTTTTCATACTTGCTTTTCTTTGTTCATTATTGTCAATGTTCATAGCATTATAACATTTTCCCCTTTACATTTCAGAATCAACTGATGAGTCTGAAGTTGACAAAACTCACTGTCTGAATAACAGTGTTTCCTCAGGCACTTACTCAGACTACTCACCTTCCCAGGCTTCCTCAGCATCCTCTAACACCCGGGTTAAAGTGGGGTCCTTGCAGACAACAGCTAAAGATGCAGTACATAATTCTTTATGGGGTAACAGGTGTGTTTAGAATTCCCTTTTTTCTGTTCCCAAGTGCTTACTTTCAGCAACTTTTTTTTAAAAAAATGGGATCTTAATTTTTGAATTGTATTCATCACATGAATGGCGTAGAAGACAGACGGAAGGGGCAGGTAAGCAATCACATTCCCCCCAGGATTTCCGGGAGAGGATGAATCCATTTTATACAGCAAAACCATTGTTTAAGGGAGAGATGGCAGGAGATTATCAGGTTGAGATAATAGGAACAGAAATTTTAAAGATCAGAAACCAAAAATCCTGTTTGCCCAATACTTATTTAAGACACACGTGGGCATTTCACTATCCCCAGTGGGGTTATGGATTAAACCAAGATGCATGGAAAGCACTTGTGTGCCCAGTACAAAGTAAATATTTAATAAAATTGTCATTGCTATTGTCATCATCGTTATCATCATCATCATCATTTTATCACCACCTGGAAAAGTTAGGCTATAAGCAAAAGTATTTAATCTTTCCAAAATGGTTCCTACTCTATTTTACTTCCATTATACAGATAAAAATCAAAAGCCAAAGAGCACAATAAAGTGATTCAGTGAGGTAGTAATTACCCAGTCTGATTCTTTTGTTTTGTGCCTTGTTCTTATGTTTTAAGGTACAAACAACAAATACAAATCATCATATAGGTAGTCAATGATTATTACTCATATTTTACTGATAATATCACTACTGTCAACAATATATTCTTTGGTAATTAATGGATAACTATTTCTACCTATCAGTGCCCATGATAAGAATCTTAACTCTTTCAGTTTACAAGTTCGTTATTTGTGATATAAGCTGAGCTTAATGAGGTACTTTGGAAGGTTCCTTCTAAATGTACTATTTAGCAATTAGCAATTAGCTTTAGCTAATTTTTTAGCTAATTAGCTTTAGCAAAAGCACTTAAAGGTCTTTCTCTCACTGATAATATATACATATATATGTATATATATATTATTCAATGTTATTAGAGTGCAAATGGTTTAGAATAAACCTAAAAAAATGAGCATCTTCTAGAAATACTGTGGTCACTGGCATAAACAAGCCAATGACCAAAAGTCATAATATAATATAATTTACATTCTAGGAAAATGTGTTCCCTATACAATGAATTTAGTGTTTTCAATACCTGGCCTTCAAATAAATGTTATTTGAAGACAATTTGGGTTCATTAGGTTTATCAAGTACTTATAAGAAAGGTACTCTCGACCAATAGTTTGGAAAGGTACTGAATCAAAAATTCCAGGGATAAGGACCAAGAATCAGGTGATTCTAATTATCAGACAAGTGGCAGGACCATCACTGAAGACCTATCTATTTCTTTTATTCATTTAATCATCCAACAAATATGTATTTTCATGCCTACCAAGTGCCAGGCACTATGCTAGGCCTGAAGAAGAAAGAAAAAAAAAAAATCTCTGCCCTCATGAGTTTACATTCTAGCAGAGGACACACAACAATGCACAATAAATAAAACAGGTAAGTAACTGATATAATATGTTAGAAGGTGATGATTACAAGGAGGAAATAAAAGAGCAAGGTAAAGGGGTGGATTTGGCGGGGGGCGGGGGGGGAAACGGGCCTGAAATAACTATGCCATCTTAATCGGAAGTGAGGTGTGGATGAATGATCTGTGAAACAGAGGATTGTGGCAGTCTTGGCTGCTTGTTCTCTTTCTGGCAAAGACCCAGCTCGTCCTTATTTTCATGTCTCATCTTCCCACTGTCTTCACAGGATTTCGCAATCTTTCCCACAGCCTCTCGATTCAAAGCCATTACTCAGCCAGCGGGAGGCTGTTCCCCCAGGGAATGTACCGCAGCGTCCAGACCGGCTGCCAATGAGTGACGCCTTCACGGACAACTGGCCTGATGGTTCACATTATGATAACACAGGGTTTGTTGCAGAGGAGACCGCAGGCGAGAATGCCAACAACAATCCTCTCTTAAGTTCAAAATCTAGAAGCACATCTTCTCACGGACGCAGGCCTTTGCTTAGGCAGGATAGGATTGTTGGTGTTCCCCTGGAACTCGAGCAGTCTACACACAGACACACACCAGAAACAGAAGTGCCTCCTTCCAATCCCTGGCAGAATTGGACCAGAACCCCTAGTCCTTTTGAAGACAGGACCGCTTTCCCTTCCAAATTAGAGACAACCCCCACCACCAGCCCATTGCCTGAAAGGAAAGAACATATAAAAGAATCTGCTGAAATACCTAGTCCTTTTTCTCCAGGAGTACCATGGGAGTATCACGATTCCAATCCCAACAGGAGTCTTAGCAATGTCTTTTCTCAGATCCACTGCCGCCCAGAATCTTCTAAAGGTGTTATTTCCATTAGCAAAAGCACAGAGAGGCTTTCCCCACTCATGAAAGATATCAAGTCCAATAAATTCAAAAAGTCCCAGAGTATCGATGAGATTGACATTGGTACGTACAAGGTGTATAACATACCATTAGAAAACTATGCTTCTGGGAGTGATCACTTAGGAAGCCATGAACGGCCAGATAAAATGTTGGGACCAGAGCATGGTATGTCCAGTATGTCTCGAAGCCAGTCGGTCCCAATGCTGGATGACGAGATGCTCACGTATGGAAGTAGTAAAGGGCCACAGCAACAAAAAGCTTCCATGACCAAAAAAGTCTATCAGTTTGACCAAAGCTTCAATCCCCAAGGAGCAGTGGAAGTTAAAGCCGAAAAGAGGATACCGCCCCCGTTTCAACACAATTCTGAGTACGTGCAACAGCCCGGCAAAAACATCGGCAAGGATTTGGTTAGTCCCAGAGCTTACAGAGGATACCCACCGATGGAGCAAATGTTCTCATTTTCTCAGCCATCCGTTAATGAGGATGCTGTGGTGAATGCCCAGTTCGCAAGCCAAGGTGCCAGGACGGGCTTCTTGAGAAGAGCCGACTCCCTGGCGAGCTCCACAGAGATGGCCATGTTTAGAAGGGTCAGTGAACCTCATGAGCTGCCTCCGGGTGATAGGTACGGCAGACCTCCGTATAGGGGCGGTCTGGATCGCCAAAGCAGCGTTTCAGTGACTGAGTCCCAGTTCCTGAAAAGGAATGGCAGGTACGAAGATGAACACCCTTCATATCAAGAAGTGAAAGCTCAGGCGGGAAGTTTTCCAGTTAAAAACCTTACGCAGAGGAGGCCATTGTCTGCAAGAAGCTACAGTACAGAGAGTTACGGTGCCTCCCAAACCAGGCCAGTTTCAGCTAGGCCTACTATGGCAGCTCTTTTGGAAAAACTGCCATCTGACTATAACTTGGGTAACTATGGTGACAAGCCATCAGATAACAGTGATATAAAGCCGAGGCCCGCCCCTGTGAGGGGAGAGGAGAGCTGTGGGAAAATGCCTGCAGACTGGAGACAGCAGCTGCTTAGACATATAGAAGCTAGAAGGTTAGACAGGGTATGTCTGGCATTTCTCTGTAAGAATACCCCCCCTGCCTTTAGTTGCACTGCACTGCCATCTCTAAGCACATGTAGGGAAGCATGAACTACACGAATGAGCAGACGATCAGCATTTTGTTTCTCTCTCTATTGTGGGGAAATGGCTCGTAACAGTTTCTCGTGGATGTTGTTTAACGCCCTTCCAGAGTCCGTAACCTGTAGGCGAATGATTTACCCAGTCTAGCCCAACTATTGTTAGTAAGAAAGAATTTGACGCCGTTGTGTGGGCTGGTGCTTCAGGTGCTTTCTAGCCGTTAAGGCGGAATGCCTCTCCTAGGACACAGAACTGTTCTCTAGCGACCTAAAGAGTATGATTTTTGTTCAATCTAGAAAAAGTGAGTATCTGGCCCCTCTCTGCACAGACTCACTTATTATAAAGTCAGGCCTAATTTGTCTATAAAATTGTCCCACACAGTTACTGCTAGGGGGCGACTAAAGTTATTACTTCCAATGAGCAATAATCTTTTCCCAGCAAGAAACAGAAAAATAAAATAAGCGGAGATTGAATGCCCTCAATAAAAAATCCTGCCATTTACAATGTTGATTTTTATACAAAAAGACATGTTTAACTTCAAATCATACTACAGGTGACAAAAATAGACGATGTCTTTATGAAGACTACAAAGGTACAAATTAGTGCATATATTGCAACCAAAAAAAAGAAAGTTAATCCCAATTCAGTTACAAACTGAGTCACATTACAGCATGGAATGCATAGTGATTGAGGAGGGTGTAAAAAAAAAATATATATATATATATATATATAATTTTAAAGCCTAGAATTACTTTTTGTTGCCTATTTGTATCTCCTGAAGAGAAATCTGATATTTCATTTTCTACTATGATCAATAATTGACCATTCTCATTGAATGTACTTTGTGGCTTTGGTGTAGAGGGTCTTGTGTACTCTGCATTGACCTTAGAATCTTAAGGTCCTTTTTGTGAAAATAGGGCCTTCTGCTCTCATTTTCTAGGGTTTAAATACTTAGAGTAAATTGGGGATCCGGGAAATAATATACCATTAGAAAGTTTTGCTCAGTAGTTTTATTATTTTATTTGGTGTCCTGCTAAAAGCACAGGTCACAGCATTTATTATATATTTCCTTAATATTGAATTTTGCATTTTCAGGTATACTCTTTCTAAATAATTATATTGTTTGTAGGTCGTGTCTACATGACGCGAAAACAATTATTTTTAGGGACAAGTGAACTAACAAATGTGAGTGTGGGTGTTAGTTTTCAATGTGGAAATTGGTTCTTCCTTGCAAAATATTTCATCAGAATGTCTGTTTCAAATAGGTATGCTCAGTCCCATTGAAGGGAGCCTCATCAAAGCCTCATGACTGGCTGTCAGTGGGAGACACCTGGTCAGTTGTCACCATGCCTTACCTCAACTTAGACCCTCCATGTAGACAGATAACTTGGAGGGCGAAAATATTTGGGGCCAAATAACACAGTACAGTTTGGGAACTCTGGCCTCGTGTAGACACGACCATACGTAACAGGGTAAGATGAACTAGTCAAGAAAGGTTATAAGAAGCTTTTCAGAGCATATGTACAATGACTAGTAATTTGAGGCAACAGAGGAGTGAGTGAAAACAAAGCATGAAAAAGAAGACAAAATGCTTTTGGTACCATCATTTATTTACTGGTTTCTCAGATAAATGGTTCCTCTCCTTTGAATGGAGCTACTCCTCCAGCTGGAGCAGGATTTTTGAGAGAGGAAACTAGGAGCAGGGGAGGGGGATTAGGATCGGCAGAAGTCTGCAAGCCCTGCCTGGCCCAGATCCCGAAAACTAAAAGTAAACTCACGTGTGTTTCCTATTGCTGTGACAACACCTTCCTTTTTAATTAGTTTCCACGCTTCCCCTCTTCGTTTATAATTCCCTCAGTCTGTCTTTCATTTTCCAGAGCAATTTCAATGTATATTCCATAGCTTCCTATTTAATTCCAAGAAATTAGGTTACCTGAGAGTATTGCTTCAAGCCAGTAGAGCCTGAAAGTTTGTCCTCCTGTTTTCTCCAAGTAACATTTCTTCCCCCCATCTCAATTGCGTGACTGAGCTATTCAGGCTGTATCTTACTTAGAACTTTCCAGCTACTCAAAAAGTTGAATTCAGGGTACCGAAGCACAGACCTTTTATGTAAGACTAGTTTTGACATAGCTGTGCTTTTTTTAACGTAACATTCAAAGTCAGACTGCACCGGAGATACCGTGTGTTTCCTTCCCAGGGAAATTTAGTTGAGGATTTGAACCCAGAAATCGAATAGTTATACTAGAAACTACACGATCTTTGTCCATTCTTCATAAGAGAGAACTGCCCAGAGGCCTGGATGTTGGATAAGCTTAACAGCCCAAGATAATGTTGGTTAAAGATCTTGCCTGGTGTTGACCTTGGAGAGGCAGCTCCAAGTACTGCCGTAGATAAAAGATGCTGTTTTCTCCTGTATTTTAACTTCGAGGCTCATGCGTCCACCTGAGCGTCCCACTGTGACTGAGAGAATTTAAAACATGAACCCATATGTCCAAGACTGCTCCCCTTCTACGGGAGCTAAGAGGGACTAGACTGGAATAATTTTAAACCTTAAGGAATCATTCAAGTGCTAGATTGAAATGTTCAGTGTCCTTTTCATCTTTGGCATGGTGACAATGAAAAATCACTGGATGATATAATCAAGGATCCATAACAAATATGATCGGTAGACAAGCACACCATCAGGAGTTTAATTGTCCTTCAGTTGAGTTCAGTGAAACTGATGCTAAAAATCATTATTTTGCAAACAATGCCCTCAGAATAGAATAACTGCCTGTTGTTATTGTTCAGTAATACTCAGTTTTTAAAAAGTTTACTAAGTTAACTTGTGTAGATTTTTTTTCCAAAATAAGAGAATTTCTTAAAAGGGCCAAATACTGTCAATTACTACTTTCTTATGAGAGGTGGAAAGTGGAGATTGTCCTAATGGAAACTCTTTGATGACGGGACATAAAAATGTTTTAATTTAAATGAAGTTCTATAGAAGAAAATTAACTAGCTCTCAGACCCTTGGAATAACCTGAGATGCACCTGTTGAAGGATAGCCACAATGCAGATATCACCAGAGTGCTCTATAGGTATTTAGGTACATTAGATAAGTAGTCTTAATAGCTCAAATCATAATTCCTTTAGTTTCATTATGAAACTTCTCCAGTTTAAAATGTAATTTTTAAGAAACAAAAAAAGTCAGAAACTTTGGATTCACATACAATTTCTTTGACTGGTTTAATTAAATTAATCAGTAAATTCAATTAGCCAATAGTCAGGTTGAATGATTTTTTTTTTTTTTTTGACCAGCTCTTTTTCTGAGTTGCTGTAATTATGTCTATAGACGGAGCAATAAAGGACACTGATTTTTGGCTTTAACATTGTAGCGCCTTCGTTTTAGGGCAGAATTAGAAGCTGGTATTTGTCTTGTCTATGTGTTTATCTCACAATGTGAAAGAGACCATGAGATTTGGAGCTGGCAAAATTTGATTAAGATCTCACTGTTTGAATTTTTTTTAACTAATAGACTACCACAGACGAACAACATTTGTCCAAAGTCACTACAATCATGATATATGAGAGAATAGGTTCTATGCCCTTGAGTTAGCAGCAGATGTAAAACAGAATGTAGCCTTGCTTTTTGTCTTTTCTGTAGTTTTGGATGGTACTCATTATGTGCATAACTAACACTGTTTACTGTATGCTTCTGTCTGATCAAGTGCATGTTTAAAAGACAGTTACTGTTTGCCCGCTTAAAGTTAAATGTTATAAATTTTAAACATGTTCATGTAATAATCAGTTTGTTGAGCATGTGTTCACACCCTGTCACATGATTATTTCCTCTACTCAGAATGCTGCTTACAAACACAACACAGTTAACCTTGGCATGCTGCCCTATGGAGGTATTTCAGCAATGCATGCAGGCAGAAGCATGACTTTAAACTTGCAGACTAAGTCTAAATTTGATCTACAAGAACTACCTCTTCAGAAAGTAAGTATGGACTGCCTTACATGTGTCAGCATACCAAAGCCAATTAATGTTGTTTGTTCACTTAATGTGTTTAGGCTGTACATACAACCCTACTTAAAGACTCTTCTGAGTCCAAAAAGCACAAGGGCAAATAATGTAGAGCCCGAATTCTTAGCTGCTAAATGAGTATTTGGAGCTAGAATGATTCTCAGGTTCCTGCTTAACAGCTTTGCTTTTTGGATTGAGCAGGTACATGGCTTTTTGAGTTGCTTTAAGGCTCATTTTCTTATTACTCATTTCTTTTTCTTTTATTCTTTGTTTTCCTCTCTTTTGTGTGTGTAGATATATGAACATGTATTTTTTAAAACATTTTTGGAGATAGTCCTCTCTTCCCTTGCTGATGCATTCTGAGAACAGAGCTAGAAATTATTGTTGGATTTCAGTTGATCCCTTTGGAAAAGACATAGCGACCTAAATTACAATGGAAATGAAGTGGTTGGCACTCCTAAATGCTTCCCGTTGTCTTTATGGAAAATATCACACAGAAATAAAACATGAGAAACAAGTTCGTGGCTTAGCTAGCAAATTGTTACTCATCCTAGACTAATGGAAAAGGAGCATGTTAACAGGGCTTTCAATATAATTGTAGGCTCATTTGAAATCAAATATACTGGAAGAAGAAACATTTCCATTGTCGAAGGAACATTTCTGCTGTTTTATTCAGGCAAAACTGAGAATGAACATTTTACCTGTTTAAATTGATTAATACCTCTGTCTTAGTTACATTTTGATGGAGACTAATGAGTCATTTTCATGCAATATGTCATTATGACTATATTATTAATATAGTCATTAACCTAGTAAGTTTTATGAAAAAAGCAGTGCAAAGTAGGGATAACAGAATGACAGTAGCCTCCAAATACTTCTCTCATAATAAAATTAATGAACATATGGAACTAACTCCCAT